TAAGGCTTTTTGTTTTTGTTTTTCTGCAAGTGTGTGTAACAAGGATGTGCTTGGCCGCAGCTCTTTCCTCAGCCCGTGTAAAATTACTCGCGTTCAGACCGCCACACACGTAGCATTTAACACAGCATGGGCACGCGTTTGCAAATCTCAACACCTTACATTACCGTGTTCATCTGTGCAATTGCATTCCTGAGACAGCTGCAAGTTCCTGCCCACTTGTGCTCGTGCACATCCCAGATAACTCTCTTTGCTTCAATGTCACCACAATTACACAACACAGGCACGGGACCCAGGTCCAGTTTGCAGGCGTGAGGTAATAATTGGGTTGTATTTTATGGTTTGTGTATTTTAAGATTGTGAGAAATAGCTCGGCTGAATAAATCATTCATACGTTTAGAGTGATTACCGGAGTGAGAAAAGGGGGGAAGCTGGATCGCCCAAGATAGATTACCCATAATGCATTTCAAGGCGGCAACTAATTAGCAGAAGAAAGGTCAAGTAAAACCAGAAAGTGATTAGAGAGAGGAGACATAAAAAGAGAGAAGAGAAAGCGAGCGAGAGATCTTCGCATCTCACATACTTTTAGTCACTTTTGGAACGTGGCCAAATTTTTTTCTCCACCTCGATAACTGAAAGCAGTCGTTTCAATATTTAACCAGGCCTCTCTCCGCCAGCAATGATGCCAGTCTTCGGGAATCTGCTGCAAAACAGCAGGGGATGTGGGGGCGGAGCCGTACCCATCTACCGGGAGGACAGAGTACCGCTGCAGAGAAGAAGAAGGAAAAAAAAAAAAAAGAGGCAACAACAACAGCCCAACGTTGCACCTAGAGCAAAGCTACTCCCACTGAGCCCTGCTACGCTGCAGCCCGCAGCCAGACTTCTGCTGCCTTCTACGCCCAGAGATTACAGCACACTGCCAGAGCAGGCATGGCGGACACTCTTCTTCTGGCGCATCTCTCCTGTCAACAGCAAAAACACAGCGTTGCGCTGGCACCATCCGCTAAGCCCCCCATCCCCCCTTAATGATCCAATGCATCAATACCTTCAGCCATCAACAGGGAGCAGATGTCCTCCGTTACTGTATCCTTGGCCGGGATTGGGAGCGCTGCTTTAAAAAGCATTAGTCTCCAGGTCCAGGATGGCTGTCTCACCGTGGTCCGCCACCCGCTTCCACTGGCAGGTGATCCTGGGGCCTAATGGAATTTAATTACTTCAGCCACATTAATCATGGCTACGGTGGAACATCCACTATTTCATCTACACTCTTAGGGGTTATTAGTACAAATACACTGTCAAACTGCATTGTGGAAGTGGCATTTTAGGTGTCATCGCCTGTACATTTATTAAAATCTATATCAATATCTTTCAGCGGACACTTCTCTCACCACCCCCCTCCCTGGTCGTCTCCCATGCACATTAGGGTTTCAGACAAAGTTTCCTGGCATGAAGTGACACCGGTCTGAGAAACTTTTCCTTCATTAATTCTCTCCTGCCACTCCTGCCCGTCGTTCAACGATTGATTGGACGTGGCTGGCAAGGACAGCAGAGCAGCGCTTCAAGACAACACTCTGAAATAGAGACTTCATGCCCTAACTTGATCGAGGTGTCAAAAGCATTACTCAATTCATTATATTATTAATGGTCCGATGGTCACAAGCGCTTTTCACAATGGTAATGTTTCATAGATAACACCTGGCAACGTATAGGCCTACCTGGATAAATTATCTATTGTTGTTTTTCACTAGCAAAACAAAAATTAAAAAAAACTCTAAAACATTTTTTAGGAAATGTATTTATTATTATTTATTTACAACATTTGTACAGTTAAAGTTTCATTGATGTTGTCCAGCAATCCCCTCCTACATCCCCCTTAAATAGTCATTTTTTAGAGTTTCATTCTTTAAAGACTTGGAAAATAATAATCAATGTTTTCGCCCCCAAATTTACAGCGTTTTATTATCTCTTAATACTGCATGGCATTATCAGCTCTACCACCTTCACACACCTAAACTAAAATAGCACTTTACACACAAATGCATTTCTAAACTCACTCAGCCAAGGACCAGGTGCTGGTTTGTTCTGTTTTAATTATTATTTCTAGCCTTGAAATAAAAATCAATAGGTAGATTCCTCGAGCCCTCATTATACTGTTTCATGTATTTCATTGTAAAATAAAAAAGCCACAATAGTAATATGTGGAATTTGAGTCCTGCTGCTCTAAAAACTCAAAGGTCAGGGAAATTCATTTTACTGCCTGTGGAGGTGAAGAAAGGAAAAAAAGGTGAAACCACAATAAAAACTCCTGCTATACAAAACATTTCAACAGCATTCGCTGTTCCATACATTTCAATATTTCCTAATGCAAGCCTTTTGAATGAGGATTCAAACGCCGCGACAGCTGAATTAGACAAGAGACCTGCAATGAGAACTTCACCTCGCTACTGAAACCTTAAACTCCCACATTCTCCACTAACTTCCAGGTTTTGTTTTATGTGACAAACTGAAAAGCATCATTTTTCCATACTTGAAAAGTTTCAGACAGGCTATTTTGAAGATATGCATAAATTTAATAAATATACCAATAGACATCACAGCAAAAAGTCCACTCAAGATTCAACTAAAATCAATCCCGAATAAGGTTTGAATCAGGCAATACAGTAGTTCTACAGCAGAAAAAATAACTGATTTTATTTTACACATAAAACATGCGTGCATTCAAAACAAATGACGAGAAACCGCCTAAAGCTCTGCTTTGATGAGGATACACCTATCAATAAAAACATAATGGATCTGGATCAGAGAGCTTGTTAGCTCGCTCACAACCAGACTAGAACCCTATAGCATTGACAAAAGAAAGTAGGCGCTTTTAACAAAGGCATATGAACAGTGAGGTCTTGAGCTCTGGGCTATATAGATTACTATAAGATTACTAGAGCCTATGCTTGCGCATGTGTGATGTTATGTGAGGGGGGTGTTGAGTTGATGAGGTTCAGGTAGCCAGAGAGGCAGCTGGGCCGCAACAGAGGATTCTGGGTGTGAGAATGCGAGCGGTGGAACCCTCTGGATCCCTGCCACTCATCTGGCCACCTTCCTAAGCAGGGCAGAAAATCAAACAAGTAGGAAAGAATTAAATAAAAGCAAGAAGAAAAATGATTTCTTATAAATAGCAGGCTTCGCCAGAAGGCATAGGAAATGAGAGCAGCGAGGCGCAGGAGAGGAGCTTGAGCTTGACACGGGTCTTAAAATTGAGAGGGGGCGGAATCAGGGACCTATTGCGCAAAATGGCTCCAACCAAAGCAAGGATTAGTGTTCCTGCCTCCACAGCCAAGATTCTCCAGAACAACTAATCACCTTCAAGTTCTCTCGTTTTTTTTTTTCCTTTTTCCTCCTCACTGTCTCTCGCTCTCCTTCACACTCCCTTTCTCTCTCTCTATCCTCTTTAAAGTATCATTTCACCCCTCACAGCCATTATGGCTAAAATTAAGCAGAGAGTGTTCTGCCAGCACCGATTAGACACATCCCTGGATCCGCGCTGAGGAGAAGGTGTCATGTCAGTTACAGCTCTGAGAAGAAACGTGCTTCACCGCGACAGTCTACACGGGCAGGCTGAGAAAGTGACGTACATCTGTGCCACCCAGCGAAAAGACTTGTGGCGAGAATAGTTTTGATTCGGTTCAGAGGGCTAAAATATCAGCCGGCAATTAGAAACGAGACGGAACAGCTTACAAAAAGTTGTGGAACATTTTGTGCGAAACCGTTAATAGACTCCAGCGTGTTTTGAGTGAACAAGTGTTATACAACTCAAAATAAAGACAGATAATATACTTTCAAGTGAGCATAATTATCCTGCAAGAATAAAAATGTACATGTGTTTACAGTCGTATGAATATTCTAGTAGCTACAATTCACTTGAATTAATTTACTACAAGACAACGGTTTGCATATCAGTCAAAAGCATGCGGTGATCAATTAGCTTAATACAAAGAAACAAACAAGCGCTTCTTTGTTGTTGCTTAAAAATACAAAATGCAAACATCAGCAAATCTCACATTCACACTTTAACCCAGTTACAACAAAAAGCCAAAGAAGAAACTGAAGTTTCATAATTAGTTATTGCAAGGATGTGCATAAGAACACATGTTTAGGCTACTTCATTTATAAGCAGAATGAGTGTTTGTACATCTGTTTAATGTGACATTCTGTGAGAGATCTGCATCTCACAAGCACGGCTTCGCTCGCAAAAGGCAGCGATGATATTGATAAAACAGACGTTTTATAATCACAATGATCTGGAGAACTGCACTGCCACAGAAGGTTTAAATGAGTCTTAGATAGGTCACCTTCAACTTTAAGAGTTTTGTCTGACTTTTAGTTCTTTAATGTCGAGCTGCTGGTTTCAAGAAGAAAAAAAAAGTAGAGGAAGAAGGATGGCTGTATGATTTCTCCTATTCAGAGACAGATGAAATGGGCCCTGCATACTTGCAAATGACTGGGAAATATGCAAGTAATTTACCGTTAAATTCCATAACAGGAAAACCTAATTGTACAGCATGTCCAGCCTAATTGAATTGTTCTACAAGTGCATTACTGTTATGGAAATAATACTGACAGGAGAGATAAGAGATTGAATGAGAGACACTGAATGAAGAATAAAACTGCTAGGCTAAAATAAGAAAGAAAAAAAAAATCATACACAGAAAGCGATTCGGATCAAAAGTCTAAAATTAACAAATTATTATAAATTAACAACAGTAATAATCAAATCTTGATTATGCTTATGTATGCATTAAAAATAAACAACAACAATTTAAAAAAAATAATAATAAATGCTTCCAAATTAGAAGCATTGTAAATTACAACACTACTCATCCAATCTGATGTTTCAACTTACAAATGTTATTATAAACTACATATTTAAAAAAAAAATGCTACATTTGCAATGTAAATAAAACACTAAATAACAAGTTCATTTGTCAAAAAAAAACAGCTTCATGCACCCACAAAAATGCACTTTTGCTTGCCTCGACTGGAAAGGCCCTCTGCTGGACAGAGACTGAAGTGCAGGTGACCCTTCTACAGTTTTCCTGCAGTATCAACTAACAAAAGCATCAGCCTGCGTCAAACCAGGCTGTCAATTTCAAAAAGAAAGGTGTGTTTGCATGTGAGATGCCGGATGCGCAGAGCAAACACATATAAAGAAAATTTGCATCCACGCTTGTGTGCACCAAACACATTCAGCCAGTAAATACATGCTGCCAAGCCTTTCTTACAAATAAAAATTACACACAGATACATACATATTTACATGTATGCAATTATGCACGTATAATGCAAATGTGCTTTATTGTATCAATATACTTCTAAGTTGGAAGCAAGAAACAAAACAATCTTGAAATATTTCTGCTGTGAATATTAGCCTGTGTTTGATTGATGCAAAGCACACATGCAATTATATTGAAAAGCTCACGAGTGATAACGTCGAATTGGGAATGTAATATCACCAGCATTTCCAAGAACTGCCAAATCTACATTTATGTTACACTGACAAAAAAAAAAAAAAATCTCATTCAATCACATCACTCTTAAGCACAGGAACTGCCTAAATATAATGAACCTTGTGATCTCAAGCCACAGTATCTCTTTGACAGCAGGTTGTTTCAGCAATGATAGGTTAATGTAATTTCTCTTTTGTTTTCGTTCAGTCATCACGGAGGATGTCCTTCCATGATGACACGCCGATAGTGAGCAACTTCATTTCAGCCCTGGAATATCTCACGCATGTGACAACATCTTCCTTTGTTGCCAAGAGTGTCGAACTGCTTTGAACTGTCGGCTGACAGAATAGGGAAGCCATTCCAAACGCAAATGTAAGTTATTGCTACTTACACGTTTAACCCTCTAGACATTGTTCTGTCCTAGTATGCAGAGGAATTCTGAAATCGTGTTGCCCTCTTTTGGCTGGCATGTGCGACTGCAGATTCTTTCCTGACATAATTACAACTGCTTGAAAATGGGCAGATATTTAAAAAAGGATAAAGGTGTGATATCATGATACAATGTTGAAAAATTAAGAATATGAATGTGAGATATTTGAAAAATCAAACAGATATGACAATGTTACAAATATAAAGGTTATGACCTTGCGGTTGCCTTACGCAGTATTGTACAAAAACGAATGACTGGATTTCACAGATGAATTCAACTGCAATGACCTGTAGAAAACCTGTAACAGAAACCCTGTAAAAGAAAACTTGAAAAAGAAAACCTGTAAAGGAAACATCATTTAAAAATGAATAAATAGTGACCTGTACTCGCCACACTAGGCCAAACTATGCTGTAAAGGACTATTAATGAATATTTCCTTTTCATACCAACTCTATTCCAAACACATTTCTTCCTGTGCTTTCATTGCTACCGTCTCATTTCATACTCACTTTCTCCGCCTTCCTCTCCCTCACTCCTCCTCAGACCTGTGGGTCACTCCAGCAGGAACAGGAAGTATCCTTCCTCCTTTCCAGAGCTCACCCCTTCGTCAGTTTCCCCAGCGTTCTCCCAGCATTCCAGTCTTTGATTTCCCACTCGTCTGCAAAGATAAGAAACAAACCCCAGCAATGGGAACTTTCAGTGAATATCCTTTTCAGCCTTCACACCTACTATCTGTTTTGCTTTCTCTTTTTTTTCCTCCCTCGTTCATCTCTGAGCTCGGGGAAAGTGAAGAGGTGGGTAGTTTATTCAGTAATATTCAGAACGGTTGATCTAAATAAAGATGCTCTTCAAATTACAGTGTATGTCTAATGGTCTATCACAGAGGGAGGATTACTGATCTGATTTAAAAGACTAAACAATGCTGAGTGGAAAGGAGGAGCGGAAAAAGGACTTTTGTGGTGATAGATGCACTATCGAGAATTTCAGTGGCTCATATTTCAAGCTGGTGAAATAGAGTCATTTAAACGGCCTGTACTGCCCAATATATAGCGTTAAATAAACTATAAAAGCTTGGCGATAAGCAACCCGCCCCACACTCTCTCCTTGCAGCTGAATCGATATGGCCTGTGCAGCATATCATTCATCTCATAAGTATAATGAATACTTGTGTTATTAATCTCATCTTTATACAGGGGTAATATGATAGTTAATTCAGCTCAGTTGAAATTAATGGAAATAAGTTCATCACAAATGCATCGCTTAGGAAAAATCAATTTGGGTGAGATATTCTAATAAAAATACGTATAGGCAACGAGCACTAATTCCATCATGCATAGAAACCAATATTTCATACCATTCATCTGACTAACGCACAAATGGAATATTTCACTCTTTTCTTCAGTGAAATCAATATAGATTTTGATTTGCTTGCGAACAATTTTAATAAAAAGCTATTGATGGGATATTGATTCGTTAGCTCACAGCACAGCTCGTGGGCCCAGTGTGCAACAATCATTACGCGCCATGCTTTTGGGTTCATTTCAACTCATATGATCAATAAAGACTCCATATGCTCTTGGCCCTTTGAACACGTTGGGATGCTTTTTCCACAGCGTCCTTTAAATCAAACTCTATTGTCAGGATGAGCCAGAAGAAATACTCAAATGTAGCACTGCTCCAACATCCGACTGACCATGAATCAAGATATGCTGAAACAAAAACATGTTGGACAAATTGATACTTTATATCAATGTAATATCATATAGAAAATAAGAGTCATTATGTGTTGGCGGTGCACTATGATTTCCACCATAACTGAAACTTCAGTAGTACATAAGTAAATCGAATTTAAAATTGGCCAGTGTTTTAAGTCTTTTCAGTTTTAATTTTCCAGGAATCACATTTATACTGTAGTTTCAAAATTTGTGGCATCCCTCAAGGCTCCCAGAGTGGTTCCTTGACTTCTCTCCAGTCTGTACCTTCCTTTAAGAATGTGATCACTACCCTCAAATATCTTATTTATAACCATGTCACTTTGTAAAATCTTTATTCGTGTGAACATATCTTTTAAATGTGAGAGCCACTGGAGTAACGGCAATAAAAGGCTGGAGAGGGATCAATGCTGAACGCATTACGCCTCGGCACAGGGACTTGGCTTTAATAATCAAAAAATTGATCCATTAAGCTCAACCTAATTCTTTGCCAAAATGGGAGAGGTGCTCAGTTTTCAACACATGGTTATATGAAGAATTGCAATTTTTCACAGAGACTCTGGTCTAATGACACAATATTGAAGATGAAATGGGCTCATTACATCATAAAGACAGACAGACAGACAGACAGAGACAGACAGACAGACAGACAATAGATAGATAGATAGATAGATAGATAGATAGATAGATAGATAGATAGATAGATAGATTCATGTATAGAGCAAAGACTGTTGTAACTTTTTTTGAAGTGACCTAACATTTACCAAGCCCTTCTCACATGACTGCGATCGTTCTCCACACACACTTCAAAGGTTACCGGATGTGCCTAATTCAAAGCTGTAAATGAGAGTTCTACTTTTGAATCTTTAGTTTTTACCAAAAAAGTTGAAACCTTATCCATGCCACTCTGATGAGCTGGAGCATGTGTGTCTATTCAACTGTGAACGAGCAAATAGCAAACTTTAAGAGAGCAAATGATAGGGGGAAGTGGATGAAAAGGAGCACAAAGGAGGTAAACAACCAAAACCCTCTGAAACAAGACCCATGGCAGAGTCGTTTGGACCTTGGTGAATGCGCAGGTCGAGCATCACAGCGCAGAGACACTTCCTCTGTGCCGTGTCCCTGGGCTGCCGCTGCAACTCAACACCAGCGATATCGATCGGACTCCTAAGCCTCCATCAACCTGGTCAAACCTGAGTCCTTTCTGATATTTACCCACTAAAGTATTCCCTTCTGCTAGCGCTGCCAACCTACAAGACATGGAGGGAGAAAAAAAGTCAATTATATACAACGTGCTTGGTTTCCCCTCAAGGATACTAATAATAATAACAAAACAAAATATGCAATATTCTTAATATAATCTTTTTTTCTTCTGAAATGTCCTCTAAAACATGCACAAAACCCATTACAATCAAGCATGTTCTAATCTGATCGTATATGAGAAACTGGAGGAAGCTTAGATAAATCATCACCTATAAAAGGATCTCACGATCCACAATCTAGCAATAACGATATATTTTCAAACCGGTTCGTAAAAACAGCACTAAAGCTTGTCTACCGAGATCGGAAAAGAACAATAGCTCCTTATTCTCATTCAGATTAATGCATGGCAAGGAGAGAGAGAGAGAGAGGCGCGATAAATCGGCCACCCCTGCTCTTGTCTCGCTTCAAAAGAATCTGTTAGAGAGAAAGGGAGAGGGAAAAAAGCAGGGAGCAAGACCCACACGATGTAGTTCCAGCCAATTGCATTCCAGAGAAGTGACCATGGCTGGAGATAAACAATGCACAATAGATCACGCTCCTCAAAAGGTATAAAAGCAAGGAAGTCAATTATATACAACGTGCTTGGTTTCCCCTCAAGGATGGAATCCACCCTTTCTAATCCGATCAATTCATGTCAGACAGGAGGCTGGATTCAGTGCTATCTCTGAAGTCCTGTAATCCAGGCTAAGTCTTCACACCGCCTGCCTCACCTCCACAAGAAAAGGGTTTGGTCCAGAGTGTGATACAGCAAATTAGCCGTAGTGTACATTCAGACACACTGTAGTGGATGGGTGCCAGTGTGCTAACAGCTAAGCATAATTAGATAAGCAATTCAGCTAATTCCTACTATAGTCAATGCTACAGTTGGCACATACAATAAAGGGGGACTTGGGGCTAGTTGTCACAATTTTTATTTTTATTTTATTGTTGAAAGCATTTTTGAAATTGTATTTCTATATTAGCAGGTGTGTTGAAATACATAAAACAATAAAAAAGATGCCATTTTAATAAGGCAATAGCAGGAGAAAATAAATAATCTGCGTTTCTCCAGCAATTCTGAAAAGCATAATTGTTTAAATCCTTTATTCAGGATTGCCATTAACCCTGTGCAGTGTACGGCTGTAACAATCTGCATGTGAAGGGAAATAGGAACCCCTCTCTCTCTCTCCCTATGTGAGGTTGCCAGGCTCACCCTCTCCAAACCACAGTCAGAGCTAAAATCGCTTTAAATTGTTCCTCACTGTCGCAAAAAAAAAAAAAGCATTTAACACTCACCCATTGTGCAGGGACTGATCTCTCAACCACTCTAGCACCCCGTCAACATAAGCACAGATATCCTTCCACAGATATGTAAACAGCCCACTAAGATTTCTTTGTTTGGATTTTGAAGCTGGGTAGATTTGCCTTTGCTGCGCTTGCTTTTACAGCTTAGAAGCAGGTGGATGACAAAACATAATATTTTTATGAAGTCATTTTTTTAAAGATTTTTGAAAGATTTTCAATTTCTATAATACGGAAATAAAACAATAAAAAAATATTCCATTTCATGATAACATAAACAGTAACAAAAAAATATCAAACCATTGTTTTAGCCACAAATACAGCACAAATTTAGCCATAAATTCAAAAACATGACAATTTGCCTCAACCTGACCTGATCTTTCAATTAAAATCGACCTTCATTATATATACTTGACTCTTGAATGTTTTATTACATTTACTTGTTTAAACATTAACGAAGGCAAATATGTGATGCTGTAATTTTAGTTTGGTGAACATAATTTCCAAAAAATATTTTAATTTAAGAGGGTTTTAAACTAGATATTTGAAAGGTGTGACAATTAGCCCCAGTCTGCCTTATTGTAGATATTCACCAAGGTACAATCAGATTTTTTTTAAATACTTTTTTGACTTTTAGTCACTGGTGAACTATATACAAGCAATATATAACTTTGAAGTATTTGGCTGGTGGTGAGACATGGGAAGGTATCCCATTACAGACATGCAAAGGCTAATAGCCAGTGCGCACAGTAAATGATCAGGAACGAGGAGAGAGTGCTGGGACACTTTAATTTCCACTGACATATTGTGCTTCATGTACAGTCTGAATGGCTCCATAAAGAAAGTGTAATGATGGTCCAGGACCCTGGCCAAATAGCTGACATGCACGTTTTCCCTGGTCAGCTCAGCACCAGGTTTGATCCGTCTCATTACACCAGTCATTCAAATAATGGGCAGCTATGGGAGCTCTGGTAAAGCTACAACTAATACACATGCCAAAGTCTACATCATAGTGGTTCATTCTCGCTGTCTGCTTAGTATGCACAGGTGTTCAGGGCTGAGAACGTAAACATATAAATCTAGATTTTTAATTTATAACATACTATAATAAAATTATATAAACAGATATAAAAAAAACTATATAAATAGCAAAAAATATATATTTATTTGAAGAATTTCTCAAATTAATATAGTTTAGATTATCTAAAAA